AGATAAACTCAGTCCATCAATCTCTATAAAACTCTATTCTTTGTTCAAGGGTGACAGTGAGTAATCCACTTAATAGCTTCCCCTTTGCCACCAGGAGGTGCCCTTGAACCACAGCTGAATTTTGAATGCTAGAAAGTGCTCCGAGAATCATAGGTGCCTAGCCCTCCAGCAGCTTGGTGTGGACGTGTAAACGCTGTCCCGCACCCAAATCAAGGAACCTGTCTGGACCTTTGCACCAAGTATTCCTTTGATGTGCTCACCATGGACCAGGAACTGTGAAGGACACACAGTGAGCTCTTATACTCCAGCTAGAAAGAGAAAACCAGCCCACGTACATTCACGAGCAAACAAAACATGACTAAGGGCAGCCTGGGTAGAATGCCTCCTAGGGCTATCCCAGCTCTGCCATCTTTGATTTTGTTTCCTTATCAATGAATAACATGCTTGCAATGAAAACTTTTAAAATGTTTAAAGCTCTACAAAAAATGACTAGGTTTGCTTAAAATGTGGCGCGTCTGTATTTCTAAACGTTGTCCCAAGCTGCCATAGAGGTTGGCCAGCCTGCTAAGTAAGCTCCCTTTTAGGGGACCCAGTGAGATAACCTTTTGTTATCGGCTGCCGGCCCCCGATCCCCGATCCAGCAGGCCCTACAGAACCACCCATTGTGACGGTTAGTAACAACCCAGCCTTCTGATTTCACTAAGGCAGTGGTTGCGTCCGGAGCCCTCCTGACGCGTGAGCGCCGAACTCCCCCTTCCAGGGTGGTGATTGGCTAGCCGGGGCTGGGGGCGGGCTGACCTCCGCACCGCAGCGCCGTCACCAGCTGGCCCCGCCCCTGAGTCGGGGCGGCTGGGAGCTGAGCCTGGGGAAACAATTTACATGCGGCCGTGGGATTGGTCGCTTGGCTCCTGCGAGGGGGAGGGGAGAGCCAGCGCAAACTCGCGCGTGCGTGAGGTGGCGCGCGAGAAAGGGCCCGGTCGCGCCGAGGCTCGAGCGGCCGTCGCCATTTTGTAGGGTTCTCTCTGACGCGGGAGCCGCCGCCACCACCACCGCCACCCGGAGGTGTGAGGGGGGTCTTGTGGGTGTGTGAGGAGGTCGAGGGCGAGCCGGGGCGGGCCAGGCCGGGCCTCGGCGGGCGAGGATGGCCCCGGGTTTGGGCTTTTCCCTTGGCTGCGGGAGGTCCCGGGAAGACAACGGGAGGAGGCGGGGCTGGGTCGCCGGAGGGGGCGGGGCAGGGGTCGGGTCGAGTCTTTGTTGGGGCGAAGGAGCTGGAGGTTGGTAGGCTGGGGGGGGGTGTCTAGGCTTGGGGCCAAGGGGGCCCCTTTATTCTAGAGTATCTTGAAACGTGATACCGCACGGAGGAGAGGAACACAGATTTCCCTCCAAAATCTTGTGACCAGGGACATTCAGATATATGCCTCTTGCCCCCTGCTTGGGCTCTTCCCTTTCCTTCCCCACAAAGAGTATTTTAAGACGTGAAACCGCTAACCCTGTTACTTAAATGTGCCTCATTTCACGGAGATGGACAATACAACGCTTGCCGACCCCCGACCTCCTGTTGGGTGTCACACAGAGCTCTCACTACTTAACAAACCTTTCTCCCTCTATGGAGAAAAAAATAACGGACCTCTGTGTGAGGTTCTTGAAAGTGCCAAGAACTTCTTTGGAGAATTAAACCAAATGCAGTGTCCTGAAATTGCCCGCCCCACCCCTAACTTTTGGAAATCTTGTTTCTCCTCTTTCAGGCTCTTGTCAGAATGGTGAAGCTGTTCATCGGAAACCTGCCCCGGGAGGCCACAGAGCAGGAGATCCGCTCACTCTTCGAGCAGTATGGGAAGGTGCTGGAATGTGATATCATTAAGAACTACGGCTTTGTGCACATAGAGGACAAGACGGCGGCCGAGGATGCCATCCGCAACCTGCACCACTACAAGCTACACGGGGTGAACATCAACGTGGAAGCCAGCAAGAATAAGAGCAAAGCTTCAACCAAGTTGCATGTGGGCAACATCAGCCCCACCTGTACCAACCAAGAGCTTCGGGCCAAGTTTGAGGAGTATGGTCCAGTCATCGAATGTGACATCGTGAAAGATTATGCTTTCGTACACATGGAGCGGGCAGAGGATGCGGTGGAGGCCATCAGGGGCCTTGACAACACAGAGTTTCAAGGTGAACTGCTCTGGGGTCTGGGTAGCAGGACTGAGTGGGGTCTATCTAGCTCAAGGACCAGGCAAGAACATACAACCATGGTGCTGGCTGGGTGGTGTCTTCCATTCTATTTTAGCGGGAAATAATAGAAAGACTGTATGTTTACCACTCTTAAGCGCAGTTTACTCTTGGAGAAGGAAACACTTCTTCCCCTTTTCAGGTTTGCCAAGATTGTCAACTGCATAGAATCACAAACTGGGTTACTGTATCGTTCAGGTTTCATTCATTTGAGTGCTATTGGAAGTTTAATCTGTCTGGGCAAATGAGTACCTCATGGGAGAAGGGAGGATAAAGGTTTGGGACTTACCTGTTTCTTTTGTTATGACCAGGAAGAGTTTAAATGCGTAGAATGTATACTCTTAACTGCCTTGGGTGATGGGTTGTGGTGGGAAAAAGGGACAGGGACATCCGGAGGAACCCCTGTATTCTAAATATGGGTGGTGAACCTGGATTTGGGGAAGTATCTTCTGAGTGCTCAAATTTGTTCAGCCTGTAAACTATACAAGCACAGCCAAAAACCATGCCATGGACTACAGATGCTCCTCGACTTACAATGGGGTTATGTCATGATCAACCCATCATAAGTAGAAAATATTGTAAATCAAACATGGATATACTACTACACGGTACAGTATCAGCTCTTTGCCCTCGTGATCGCGGGGCTGACTGGAACGGTGACTCGCCTCCACTGCCCAGCATCACCAGAAAGGATCGTACCGCGTAGCGCTAGCCCGGGAAAAGATCAAGATTCGAAGTACAGAATGTGTATCGCTTTCACACCATCATTAATTGGAACCATTGTAAGTCGGGGACTGTCTGTATTCTGCTCCACCTGTTATTTAATCCTAAGGGAAAAAAGAAATTTGTAAAAATATTAGGTTGAATGAGAATGATGGTCCTGCTACTTCTGAGAAGATTCTAGTAAGATATTCTAGTAAATAACGTTTTTATCGATAATAAAGGTACATATTACTACAACAGGAGGTTGTCTTAAGACTCTAGAACTATACTAATATGGTAGCCACTAGCCACATTTAGCTACTAAATTGAAATTAAATAAAATTTAAAACTCAGTTTCTCAGTTGTACTGCACACGTTGCAAGCACTCAGAAGTCACATGAGACGAGTGGCTACTGTCTTAGTGCAGATATGTAACATTTCCATCATCATCAAAGTTCTGTTGGACAGCACTGCTCTACAGGTTGTTACATCTTATGGATCAATGTGGTGATCCATAAGATTTTTTAAAATGTCATCATTGGAAAAGAAACATCTTTTGTTTTTGTTGACAGTATCATCTTGGATTACACATTTACTGCCACTTTTCAGGTTCATAAATTAACACCATTTTTTGTCAGGGTGCCACTAAAAGGGTTAAGAAGTACTTAAGGGTCCTCTGCTAAACCTAAGAAACAGTGAGAAAAGAAATGGAAGAGAAGAAGTTGAACAGAAAGGGGTGAACGAGTTTTCAAATAGTGGAGGTTGCAGATAGTGCATCAGATATCTCTGGCCTCAGACAGTAGTGACCTGGGGTTTAGCTAGTCTCTAAAGCGTAGGGCAAATGTCATAGATACTTGCTACCATTAACTAGTCACGTGACTTTGGACAAGTGTTTTAACCTCTCTTGCTTCATTTTCCCCACTTATAAAATAGAGTTAATGATCCCTGTGGTATCTCCCTCACGTCACAGGATGGTAGTGAGGCTAGAATGAGGTGTAATAAATAGATGTGAAAGTGTTTTGACAGTAAAAAGTGATAAAAGGTGAGTGTTGTTCCCAACAATGAGTGTTTGTTATGATTAGGAACTTATTTAAAATGCGATAGTTAGCTCTTCTTTATATTTGTTTTTATTTTATTATTTTGGAAAACTTGCACATTGGACAGCTTTAAAAATATTCTTAATTATTTTTATTTGATGGGGGAGGGAATCATGAATGGACAGTGGCGGGGAGAAATGGAGGTTCTCTTGACAGGTAACAAGCGGTGTAAAGAATGCAGTTAAAGTCAGGTACTAACTGCAGAGATATTTTAATAGTGTAATATTGCATGTCCTTACCTTTTTAATATACAGTTGAATATTAGGATGGGGCAAAAATATGTATGTGGAAGTCAGTTAATTGGGGAGAGTTGGCTTAGAAGTAGTGTGTTTTAATAAAACAGGTTTAATTACTTTAGAAAGTGGATATCTGACTAATGAAGTGATCCATAAGATTTTTTTAAATGTCATCATTGGAAAAGAAAAATCCTTTATTTGGTTTTCATGTTCTTAGCCTGGCCCCTCTGGAGAAAGCCCTCTACTCCCAAGTTACACACAGACATTTTTATAACCAGCTCTTTTTTCTCCAGATGATAATAGAAAGTGTAGCATTGGATAAGTGCAGCTTTACAGAAAGTACAATCTTGATACCAATTTGTCACATTTTTCGATAAAGCCTTTTCAGCTATCTAATGAAGGTAGCCCTTAAGAGTGCCACTTGGGCATCTTTTAAACCTTTATATGTTAATGGCTGTCATTTAGGCTTCACTGTATGACTTCTTACAGGAAGCAGCAAGAATCTGAGTTTACCTGGGTCTTTCAGGCTCTGTTTCCTCTCCACACGAACAGGAGTGAACTGTACCCCTATTGAGTTAGCAGATTGTTTGAAGACCTTAAAGAAGCTGTTCCCAACTAACAATTCAGGCAGCTGAATGGGGAATATGTAAGAGTTCAGGTGTTTCATCTTTCCCCTGATATGTAAATAAGCATTAAATTGGAGTGCTCTTATGTGTCAGCTACATCCCCAGCCCTCTCTGGACCTTGGCATGTGGTAGGAGCTCAGTAGTTAGAACCCCAAGTTGCCCACCTCAGCATTTCAATCCTCTTTCCTGTTCCAGCTATCAAAAGAAAACATTTTTATTGGGCTGGTTTTCTGGTAAATGTTGGCCGCGCATTTCAGTGATTTTTGGAGGTCTCAGAAAATCGTTAAACTTTTGGCCTCTCCAAGTATAAGAGAGTGGTAGAATTAAATTTTCCTTCAGTTTTCTTTGTCCTTGGTTACTTAAGGTAATAGAGAAGAACAGTATTTTTCAATTATTAAACACGTTAGGGGATTTAAATTAAAAGCCTACTTAAAAGGGCCAGTTCAGTGGCTCAGTTGGTTAAGAGCTCGCTCAAGCATGTGAGCTCTGAGTAACAGCAGTTCGATGCCAGGCCTGAGCTGAGTTGCCAACAGGTGGCAGGATGGCTCAGCTATTAAAAAAAAAAAAAAGCCTAGTTACAACCTTTGGAAAGATTGTGTGAAAAATCTATCACTTCTATTACAGATCTTTTAGTTTTAGATAAAAAATATTTTACTGAATCTGTTTCACAGCTACTATAGAGGTAGATTTTGCCACAGATGTTTATAAATGGAGTTCCACTCTAAAGCAGGCACGAAGATTGGATGTAGTAACCAAAACATCAAGGAAGAATCACTGGGTTTTGTTTCGAAAAAAAATGGACCCGAATCTATAAAAGAGCAAATTAAATTGAAATGTTTTCCTTAAAAATGTACTTCTAAGTCTCTGGATTGGCTGCTTTTTAGATTGTCATGGTTACTGCGACTTCAGAATTGGAGCACACAGTTTGTGTCTGTCACACATTAATGTTACCGTGCATGGTTGAAAGCCAACTAATTTGTAGTCTTCTAGTCTAAATTATAGGGATAATTTGTGATATAAATTGGGGCAAAAATCTGTTTCTGTTCTATGCATAGTTAGCATGTGGCCCTTACTAAGCTCTAAGAATTAGAATGGGAGTGTTTAAATCTCTGCAAACAGTGGGATGGCTAAATGCTGCTTTCATAGAATTATTGCCATTTGGTATCTGTTGACTGTGTCCGTGGTGATGGTGGATGCTGCCTCTGCTAGCAGCTGGAAGTAAAAACCTGAGCACCTTTGTTTCTGCTGAAGAAAGGGTTTTAAGTTGGAGGGAGCAACTACTAGAAACTGGGGTGGTAGGAATCTTAGACACTGGGCAGAAATGAGTTTGACTAAAGTGATACTACTGCACTAACCCGCTCCCCTCTCAGGGTCAGTGCATGGCGCTGCTCTGGCTGCCGTCCTGATCGGGCTGTGTCCAATGGTGGAGCGCGAGGCCTCCTATGGCATAACTGCATCCAGAACAAGGTCTGTTAAAGAGAGCACCTGCTGATCGCGGAGGGGGGATCTGTGCTGAGCAGCCTCTGAGTGGGATACAAATCCCCTGTTCTCTACACATCTGTGCTGGCTGCCTTTTGGCTACAATTCGAAAAGCATTGATTTGATCTCCATGGTCTTAATGCAGTTTGGGACTAAATACTGCCAAGAATACTCCTTTTCTCAAACTGCTTTTAAAGACCTTGGATGCTTTAAGGGTTCCTGGGCTTGGTGGCACACAAGCCCAGGGTGAAGATTGTTTCTTCTCTCAGCTGTTCCTCGTGCTGGTCATTTCCTGGAAGTATGGATGTGGCTTGTTTGTATGGGTGCCCTGAGGTCTTCAGGGAAATGGTACATTTTTCTAACAAGTAGATGATCCCCTATAAAGAATTGTAAGCCATGTGGCAGAATGAAATGCTGATCATTTCATTACATGAGAGCACACTGTCCCTAAGAAACCAGTACTGCTTCAAGAGCTTTCTAATTCTTGCTGTTGAGAGACCTTGGTCAAGTAGTTTTCCTTTCCACAGAAGGCATGGATTCACCCTTGCTGAAAAAAGTGGGGGGTGGTTTGAAATCTGGAGGGTCTTGTGACTCCTAGAAGTACTGAAGATAAAGCAGATGGTGAGCCAGGCATGATTTGTGTACCCAGCATAGCCTTCTGTGACACCTGCAAAAATGGATGAAGGAGACAAGACGGACAGAAGTTTGCTGTGGTCTTTACACTGCAGTGAATGCTCAGGCCTAACGCGGCCCTGAGGAAATCGGAGAGGTTGGTAAGACAAAATCTGGCACAACTGGGGCTCTGTTGGATATCTGATTTGGAAAAATTGGCAGGTTTTGAATCGTGAAAATTTTCAGTCTTAGCAGTAAAAAGCGGCAAGTTTAAATTTCTGTGTTTGTGGGGGAAAGGAAAGTTGTGGAGACAGAAGTAGGCGGGAATCCGGTCTCCTGGTGTAAGTAGAAACTATTGACTGGTCCCTGAGGACTCCAGTTTTCTAGCTCTTGCCTGTATTAAAACTTCAACTTCTTTTGGTGGGGATTGCTGAAATAGGGTCTCAGGAGTGTGTGTATGTATGTGTGTCTTATGCCAACTAGTTTACTTTCATGTGGGGAGGATAAAGAATGTTGATGAGTTATAATAAATTTTATATCTATTTCCTCAAGGCAAACGAATGCACGTGCAGTTGTCCACCAGCCGGCTTAGGACTGCGCCCGGGATGGGAGACCAGAGCGGCTGCTATCGGTGCGGGAAAGAGGGGCACTGGTCCAAAGAGTGCCCGGTAGATCGTACGGGTCGCGTGGCAGACTTTACCGAGCAATATAATGAGCAGTACGGAGCAGTGCGCACGCCTTACACCATGGGCTACGGGGAGTCCGTGTATTACAACGATGCTTATGGAGCACTGGACTACTATAAGCGTTACCGCGTCCGCTCCTACGAGGCAGTGGCAGCAGCAGCAGCAGCTTCTGCGTATAACTACGCAGAACAGACCATGTCCCATCTGCCTCAAGTCCAGAGCTCAGCTGTGACCAGTCACCTCAACTCCGCTGCTGTGGATCCCTACGACAGACACCTGTTGCCAAACTCAGGTGCTGCTGCCACCTCAGCTGCTATGGCTGCTGCTGCTGCCACCACTTCCTCCTATTATGGAAGGGACAGGAGCCCCCTTCGTCGTGCTACAGCTGTGCTCCCCACAGTTGGAGAGGGCTACGGTTATGGGCCAGAGAGTGAGCTGTCTCAGGCTTCAGCAGCTGCACGGAATTCTCTGTATGACATGGCCCGGTATGAGCGGGAGCAGTATGTGGACCGAGCACGGTACTCAGCCTTTTAAAGACTGGAGGTGAGAGTGGGGTGGGTATGGTGAAGAGATTCCATTTAGTTCCCTTGAGAGAGACCCAGGCTGCATAGAGAAAGCTAAAGCCACCTGTTTGCTGTCAGGACAAGAGTGTCCAAAAGGTATAAATCACGTGTTAGTCCGAAATAGTCCTCTAGCTTAAGCCAAAGGTCCATTTGGCCTATTGAGGTTTTAGGGTGTGAATCCAACCATCTTGTTCCTTCTGAGAGAATAAACCCACTTTGTTAGAATATTGTTCTCTAATCAAGTGTAAGCAGATCTGGGTTACAGAAACATAGTTAAGAGAACTAACATTTGTTGAGTTCCTTCTGTGTATATTACATCATTTAATCTACACAATAAACCTTTAAGATATTCTCTCTTTTACAGAGAAGGGAACTAAGCCTCAGAGAGTTTAAGTCACCTGGTAATTGAAAGGTTGAGCCAGAATTCCAGCTCAGGCCTGGCTGACTCCTAAACCTATTCTTCCACTAAAGTCACTGTGGTGTAAGCTGAAGAATAAGGTTCAGAGTTAATAATGAATGTCCCAGTGAGAATCTGAACTGTAACTTGAGACTTCCAATTTGGTAATAAAACTACTACTTAGGTCATTAGCCTTTATCAGAGGAAACTTTTCTAATACATAGCTTTAATTCACATAAAGTCCTATAAATTTTAGGTGTTTAGTTCTAAGACACTTGCTTGAAAGCGGAATGTTTTGATATCACTGTCCCATGGAGTCCTTTTCTTATTACTAATCTGGACCATCTGGTTCTCCATGGGCACCGAAGCCATGTTTCTGCCAGTGATGCTATCACTTAGAGCCTAATGCTTCCTGTTTTTTCCAGCAATTTTTGTTTTGTTTCTTGTTTGAGGGACATTTATGGAACTAGATAAAACAGGTAATTTTTTTATGTGTATAAAATCCCATTAGTGGTGGCCTTGGAAATTTAATTTTTCCTACTTCAGAAATGTATACCAAAGATGATGAAATGGTAAGACTAATTGGGAGTTTCTAGAGATTGCTGAATCTCTTAGGCTGAGAGGAAATGGCATCATGACAACTTTCTATTCTCATGGCGGTCCTTGTACCTTGAAACTGAGAATCACTTGAATGGGAGGTCTAGTAGCGAAGTTCAAGTTGGTACCACTGAGTTTCCGGGGTTCCTAACTTACCTCTTTGGTGTATGTGTAGAAGAAAACAAAGCGATGGGGCTTTGCTGTTTTCACAATGAGAAGCAAACAGCCTGAACTTGTGATGAGTTCTATCCTGTATGACCATGACAAGACTGGCGTCTCCTGGGACCATTGTGTAGCAGTATGTGTTCATGTGCATGAAGTGGATAATCACACAGTTTGTGAAGTCGGCCATTAATTTTTACTTTTAATGCAGCTGAATCTGCCAGGAAGTGGAATATGCCTCTGAAGTCAGGTGGTATCATATAACTTCTGTTCCTCTCGAATGTTTCAAAACAAAGTTAAATTAGTATATATGGTCTTTAAAGGATATTGACTAGGTATTTTTAAATGAACTTTAACTGCAAGCAGTGGTTGTTCAACTAACCTCTTTTTAGTGATGACTTTTAAAGAAACTTACCTTCCAGGTGTGAACCTCAAATGGACTGAATAACCCTGAGTTGGTTGCAGTCCCAGGAGCCTGATGTTAATGAGGCTGCCAGGATGAAATACTCCAGAACTGTTGGGGATCCAAATTCAGGTCTCACCCTAGCACAACTGATTCAAGAACGTCACAACTTTTGAAGTCGATTGGCACAGATCAAGACCAAGATTTGGCCCTTTGTCTGTAATAAGAGTAGAGGAACTTGGTGTGAGTTAATTTTTTTTTTCCCCCAGCCATTGGTGTCTGGAGTTTCCATCATCACTGGAAGAATTAGAGAATTTTAGGATTTCTTCTTTTCGTTTGGTAAGGGAAATGTCAATTAGGGGAACTACTAGAATTATGGCTCTAAATCTATGACTATGATATATAGGTATGTTGGAGGGTAAATGAACCACCCTTTGATACCCTTTGTGGCTGTCATTTTTGAAAACTTGTTTACTATGAAAGATTAAAATGAAACACATTTAAAATAGTGCAGTTGGCCACCTTTGAGATTTTGGCATCTTCTGCTTTTTCTAGACCCCCAAATTAAATTACAGTTCTTGATATCTGTATGCCCTTTGTTACAGCAGCAGTAGCCTTGTATCACAGAGGTTGTCTTGCCTAAAAGGATGGATAAGAAAATGAAAAAGAGGCCGGCCGAGTGGCTCGGTTGGTTAAGAGCTCGCGCAAGAGTGCGAGCTCTGAGCAACAGCGGTTCGATGCCTGGCCCGAGCTGAGTTGCAGCTGAGCTGCCAACAGGTGGCAGGATGGCTCAGCTTAAAAAAAAAAAAGAAAATGAGAAAGATGTATTTGTTGTCAACGCAGCAGTCTTCCAGATAAAGATTGTTTCTTCTATATGTAGCTATAAGTAGATTCGTATATAGTCATAATAGACTCCTGGGTAATGACATGGGATATGTTTGATCCAGTCTGACTTGGTTTTGTTTTGTTCTTTGTTCTTTTCCCCCCTGGAATGCAGGACAGGACCAGGGCCCTTGTACTCGGAGCCAAGCTGCTCTCCAGGCATTGTGTAAGCCTCTTGTGTTGTGCTCTCTTTCAGGTAGGATAATTGCGGACTGAACCCTCGGGCTGCGGTCATATATGAGAACTTGCTCCGCGCGGTCCCCTTTGCCGGGATGTTTCCATTGCTTCATGTTTCAGTAAACAAAGGAGTTTGTGACCAACTATGTTTTCTTTCTTAATTTAATTCTAAGTTGACTTTTTCTTTCCTCCTGATACATGTCTCTGTAGCCTTTCACTCTGTTCCTTATATTCTCAGCCTCTGAGCAGCCCTAGGTAAGGATTATGCTGGCACCCCTTTTCCTGTACAGTGGAGCCCCTCTTATCTTGCTTTCCTTAGGAGTTGAGCCCTTCTCTCTGTCTACCTGCAACATCTCCTTTCCCTTTAAAATGACCATGTAGTGGCAAGCAACCTTTTACTCTTCTCTGTTAGCTCTGGACTCTAACATTGAAGCTGATCTTCTGAATTTGCTAGGACCATTGGGGTTTCTTGGGAGGGAGGGGGTTGTTGTTTTGTTTGTTTTGGTTTTTTTTTTATGTCTGACCTGTGATCGTGGTACAGCATTAGCTGAAATTTAGCCTTGTTTTACTCCACTCCTCCCACTCTTTTTTTTTTTAATATTTTGACAAATAAACGTTTCTAACACTTAAGTACCTTTATCTTTTTGTGTTTGTGTGACTATTATTTACAACCAGTATCTTCTGGTTCTTTTTCAGTTGTGCTCAAACAACAAAATTCAGGTAAATCAATATCTGAAATTTAGATGTAAAAGGAAGGATTTAATGAGGTAGGTACTGTGGCCTCGGCAAAGGGTGGAGAAAAGTTAGCCAGAATCTTGAGACGTTGATAAATATGTTCCTTTTCTAAAGAACCTCAGCTGCGCTTTCTGTTTGAAAGACTAGCAGAGGTTAGTGACAGGAGGAGGCCCTGCAGAGAGAGGGAACCCTGCATCAGGAAAAGTGAGCCAGAGTATCACCAAGGACCTACCAGGTTGACTCCATTTGACTTTTTGTTTAAATTCACTTACAAACTATTTTAAGAGTTCTCTCTTCCCATGGTGTTAATATTCTGCTAGGATTAGACTTTGGCTAAAATGAGTAACATAGTTAGGATAGATCAAAAGACAGGAAACGTCATAATATTTTGAGCAGAAAAGCAAGAAGGGTATTAATGATTGGCAGTAACAACATTCTGTGATGAAATTCTAATTTTTTAACAAGATTTATGGATATTGTATTATCATTGCTTAGATCCCCATAAAATGAGCTTAATGATGGATTCAACCCTACCTAAGCTTTATTGTATTATATATGGACATGTTGACATGTAAATTCTGACTACCTGTGAATGTTTATATAGCATTTTCTCCACATATTTTGTACTTAAGATAATTTTGACATAGATGAAGCCAAAATTTCCCAATTTGGGGGGTAAGATACAACTAGAGAGGTTGTTAACCTATCAGTGCACACACTCCAACGAGTGGGGAAGTACACAAGGCCCATTTTAGCTTCACCATTCCCCAAGAGGACAGGATTGTCCCTGCTTTACAAAGAGTAAAGCAAAGCTACTGGGATTTCCTCGTGATTGATCTGCAACACACCTGGTAGAGCAAAGAAATACCTGTGTGCAGGTGTGGCTGGTCCTTTGTGCTAACCTAACACAGTAGTTTAACATAATCTTGATTTCTATCTCACTGTCATGACAAGAAAAAAGATTGGGTTCTGCAAAACAGTTCTGCATCAGCAGTCTCCAGTAAGACTGGGCAGTGTTGGAAGTGTTCCTTATCTGTGCTGTCCAATTTGTAGCCATTAGCTACCTGTGATGGTTAAGTAATTAAAACGTGGCTAGTGAAGCTGAGAGACTTGAGTTTTTTATTTTAATTATAACTAGCTACACATGACTATTGAGGACTTGAAATGTGGCTAATGAAGCTGAGAAACAATGTCTTATAATGTAACTAGCCACGTATGGCTAGTGGCTACTGCATTGGACAGCACAGTTTAAATAGTAAAGTAAGTTTCTTATGAGGAAAAAAAAGGCAGGATCATGTAAAATATCTTTTCCTTAAAAAATCCTTTCATTCCCCTCAAAATAGGTAACACTGGGAAAGGGATTGGTTTTGAGCCAATGTAAGAAAACTGTTGAGTAGAAACAAATGTGTTTATTTCTAAACCTTAGTTCTTACATGAGAAATTGCATTTTGTGAGAACAAAATCCCTTTTATCCACCAAGACCATTTTTCTCATTATGGGCCATTTCAGAGTCCCATGAGGCCTCACACTAAAAGCTCCTGAATTCATTTAGCAGTATCTGAATTCCTGCTGTGAGCCAGGATTTGGGTGATGAATGAGACATGTGGTTCCTGGTAGAGAAGCAAACCTTAATTGCATTTGTGATAAGTACTATGGCAGGACCCGTACAGGGTGCTGTGAAAACGTAATAGTGACTAACTTTGGGGGAAAGAGGGGGGGGTTGTTGCTATTCCAAGTCATGTGAAGACCCCTGATCGGGACCAGTGGTGCCCATCAGGAACCAGAAAAGCAGCTCCGTGGCACAGAAACCTGAAGAGGTAAGTTACAGGCACAGTTCACGAGAGCCTAGTAGGCTGGGTAAGGAATTGCATCTTGACCTTAAGACTAACTGGAAGCTATAAAAAGGGTTTATGTTTGGAGGTAACAGGATCAGGATCAGACTCATTTCTCTTAAAAGATCACTGATTGGAGAGGAACAAAAGTGAATAACATAAGTGAGATTTGTCTGATTTATAATGGGCTTTGCCTCGAATGAAGCCAATCCAGTAGATGTTTCAAAGGAAGAAAAAGTACTTCAGACAGGAAGAGGACAATGCATAAGGACATGTGATTGGTTGGGGGGGGCACTGAGGGGGTGGGATTAAATCCCTGAGGTTAATTGATAAGCCATAAATAATAACAGGATGGGCTGCGCCTCTCCCACCTGAACACTTGCTGAGCACCTGTTGTGGGCCAGGCCTGCCTAAGGACTTTGCACAAAGCACCCCTTAGTGCTGAAGGGCAAGGGAGAGGAGATAAGGTCTCAGATCTTGAGACAGGAAGATAATGAAAATGGTATTTGCTATGAGAAATACCAAAATCATTGTGAGAGTTCAGAAGGGCAATTATGCACTCCTACCAAAATGAAAGCTTATTCTTTATGCCTTAAGCCCAGGCCTTTCATCTCAAATGAATTTCTTCCTGAGTAGTCAGCTATTTGGGGGTGGGGAGCGGGAGTTCTGGGCACCCCCCCAAGCAAGGCCCAACCACTCAGGAACTTGAAGTAGCAGGCAAAATCAACCCCAACCTGATTTAAATATTGCTGCCCGGGAGAAAAGCATGACAATCCCCCTAACTGGAGTTGGAAGACTCCCTAGTTCCTAAGAACACCTTCCCGAGGGTGGTTGTGGGGAGACCTACTGGGCCACAGCTCTGACTTGGCCCAAGCCTTGCTCTGCCCTTGAGGCCTGTGGCAGGCTCAAATCCACCTCTTCCTCTTGACTTGCAGCCACACAGTGAAGTTAGACAATGTGGCACAGAAAGACACTAGGCCCTCCGCTCATGTGGGCAGATGGGCAGGAAAGGGTTGGCTAGTTCAAGGTAGCTCAGAAAAGGGAAGCAACTTGCCCAAAACTGGCCTCATGGCTTGTCAGGATTTGACTCACAAATCTGGTCCTCAGACAGTCTCCTGCCCTAGGAGATGGGGGGGGGGGGGGGGGAGTAAAAATGCATTCCTAGGAAGAGCAGTCAGCTTGTCAGAATTCATCTCAGGGCTTTCTTAAGATCTGGTGCCCATGCGCTACTGCCCATGAGAACCAAAGTGCAAGAAATGACAGCTTGACCCCAGAGAAAAGAGCGACATTGCGAAAGTAGTCTTAGGCTTGCAGGCTTTTGGGGGGATCCAGGCCACATTCAAACCACACTGCACTGACCCCACACCGGAGTGGAGCTCGCACTGCCACAGGCCTCAGCACGCTCACTAGGCTAATGGCTGAAATTCAGGCTCCCAGACTTAAATCCAAGCCCTTTCTGTGGCCTTGGGCATGTTACTTACCATCTCTGGGCGTTTTCTCATCATAAAATGGAAATAATATATACCTTCCTCTTAGAGTTGTCCAAAGGAGTAAATATAAAGAATTCAATTGGCTATTACTACAAGTATGCAAGCAAAAGACAGAGCCCCATCCCTCCTGGAGCTCACCAACTAATGGACGAGGTAGACCCTGGAATACACAAATCTGACAAACTATCAAGAGGACTATCTGTGCAGGGAGGTAGACAGAAGAGCTGTCATCACTCCCTCGCCAGTCCTTCAAGGATTCCAGCACCCCTCCTGTTTCTTGCTCAGCTGTGGGACCTAGAGAAACTGGCTGAAGCTCTGCATTTTAGGGATCACCACATCGCAAAGCTAAAGGACCCTTTAGGGTATCAAACAGTTCCACCATTCTGCCTTTCTTGACCACTGGAAGCTTGTGGACTTAAGTGACCATCCGTGGATCCCTGGGTCCTACCCCAGGGCCCGGTCCTGTGCTACCACTGTTTCCTCAATGACAGACTGGTGACTGCAAAGGCAATGCATGGATGGGGGCCAGGGCCGAGGGTAGGGGATCCCCAAGAGGAACACATCATTCAAATGATGCTGACATACACACATTTGTTATTAAATGCCTGTTATTATGTCAGGCAGTTGCCAGGCACTGGGGCAATTTCCTAACCCCTAGGTTAAAATTTTGTGAGAAAAATAGTTAATGAGTAAACAATAACAACAACAACAACAAAAATAGGGGAAAGGACCACAAAATACACAAACTAGGCATAATGGGGAAGAATGACAAGGGGCACCTACTTAGCTAGGGGTTGTCAAGGAGAGCCCTTTGAACTCAATCCTGAAGCTAAGACCTAAGAATAAGAAATTCACCCTATAGTGACCAAGGGGAAGGTTCCTCCAGGTAGAGAGAAGGCGAGGCAGGAAAGTGGTGTATCAGGATTTGAAAGGAGGGCCAGTATTGTTAGAAAAAGGTTAGTTGAGGAAAGGGCCTGAGGTGACACTGGAGTGTGGGGTAGAGGCCAGATATTTCAAAGCGCTTCAGGCCAAGGTAGAGGGTTGGCATTTATTTTAAATACAATGGGACTGGCATTTATTTTAAATACAATGCGACGTTGGTGAAAGGTTCTAAGTTACGGAGTGACAGTCTGATTTATAATTAACATCATCCCAGCTACTGAACGGAGATTGAATTTAAGGAAGAGAGGGAAAGAAGGAAAAGGTGCCAGAAGGCAGGCCACTGCAGTGGTCCTGGGGAGTGATTGTATGGTTTCCACTATGGTGTAGCAAAGACAGGACCGGAAGTGGCAACATTTGCTTTGTGTGCTAAAGAAGAGATGAGGGGGGAGTGAGAAGTGAGGGGACAATCAAGAATGACCACCAGGAATCTAGCTAGAGCAGCCCCGTAGATGGTAATGCCATTTAAAGAGATGGGGAAGATTGGAGAAATTATTTGGGACTGGGGAGACTCAAGAGTTCTATTTCAAACCTAAGAAGTGTGAAGTGTATGAAGACAACCAAGAACTCTCAAGTACAGCTGGTCCTCGTTCAGTTGTTTTGTTGTAACGCTGATGAGACGCCACAGGAACTTAACTCTTGT